TCCTTCACACAAAGCAGGCAAGCAAATAGAGGAGTGTCCTGTAATTGCCCTCTTCCGCTTTTGCAAAGATGAGGGCACGTCCAACCACCGTTTAATGTTCGCATCCCTGAAAAGTAGCCTGCCCTTTGCAGTGTGATTAGATTTGTATTTAAAACACCAAAGGTCACTCAGAGGAAATAAAATCAGCTGCTAAATGTCATTTTATTTTTTAAAAAGCCCTGTTATGCCACCTACTGTGACAGATGTTTATTTTAATTGGCATATCAGCATTTGAAGTATTTCCTCAAATGAGTTGCAAAATGCCAAGCTAAGCCCCTCACCGAGATACACCTTTCTGAGGCACACATTTTCTATTTTGTAGGAAGGGTACCCTAGACTTCAGCTCCGAATCATAATGGAGGTTAGAATCACCCATTTACCCAAAGTAAACTAAGAAATTATGAAATTTCTTAAATAAGAAATTTTATTGCCCTAAGTATAAAATAAGCAAGATGGAGAATTACGCGACTCCTGGGAAAACAAAGACCATGCATTTGTTGGAAGTGTTTGTCCTGTTGTCTCCAGCTTCCCTACACTATAGCACCCAACCACAAGACACCTCACAGGGTTGTTGTGAGAATTAGATTGAGAGAAGGAAGGGGAGGATTATGTAAGCTGGAAGAAAAAATACAAATATTGTAGGTACAACAAACAAGTAATGCAAAACAAAACAAAACGGGAAACACCATTGCTTGCTTATCCCCTTCTCTTTCTAGCAGTGCCCACCAGACACTTTGGGCCTGAACTCCCATCAGCCCCAGACAGAGCAGCCACGTGCCCTTTTTACAGGGACAGTCCTCTGTATGGAAGGTGATCCATAGATGGCCACCCTCACCGCAGGCATCATGACCAACATTCAGGAATGCTCTAATCCATACTATCTGCAGAAGAAGGCCACCTTTCCTTTATGTTCACAATCTATCACTAAACAATGTAATTCAGCAGTATTATTCTGAAGTAAGTCCCTTCAGAAAGTCCCTTTTGCTGTGAGCCGTCCAGAGACAAAAAGTGATTGGACAAGCTAGAAACATCCCGAATGAACGAATGATGGATGGGACTTGCTCCTAGTGTCAGGATCAGGGCCTGAGTGACCCTGCAAGTGCTCACAGAACCAGGAATACCTTTGTGGACACCTGCAAGAAACACCTGCGGAGCAATTACACAGTGCAGCTGGAGAGCCTGAAGGCCAGCATAAAAGGCTTCCCTGCACTGCTGCTCTCCCTGCCACAGAAATGCAAGTTGTCTTGGTGACTCCTTGTGCTCTGGCCCTGGCATTGCAATGCCTTGCGCCAGTTCGTTCCTGCCTTCTTCAGACCTCGCTGCAGCTCATACCTACCTTGTTCCAGTGTGTTTCTGCCTCACTCCATCCTGCTGCAACCCTCACAGCAATGTCTCTCAGGTAAAGTGACCCTGGAACTGCTCTGACACTCTCTCTCTCTCTCTCTCTCTCTCTCTCTCTCTCTCTCTGCGCGTGCAAAATTGGACTGCTCCCCTCCATGTCTCTGACCTGGACCTGCTGACTTGCCCCTGGCCCACAGTAAGCTCTGGACTCAGCTTGAGCTTGTCCCTGGGACCCAGCATTCTGCCCTTCCCTGCTGCTGCCCATGGCCCGGCCCTCACGCCTAAATAGAGAGATGTTTGCAACCTAGACCTTTTTAAATCAATGAACACAAGGGGCAAAGCCTAGTAACTCTGGACAGACGATGGATGGGGAGACGCATTCAACCTGTACTCTGCACTTACGCACTCCTAACTGCACATGTGGATCTTTGAGTTCAAACTACAAAGCTGCATTCAAATGATATGAAAAGTTATTTGGACTAAATATTAGGAAGGGTCCTGACAATTGAGCATCATGACAGTGGAACACGCTGCCTTGATGGGCTCTCCTTCATTAGGGGTTTTTAACAGAAGCCAGATACCCATCTGTCACTAATGGTGCATTTATTTACTAAACATCAGCAGGGGGTTGGACTAGGTCAGTTTTGAGGGTCAATCCATATGGGTTCCCATGACACACTAAGACATCCTGCAAACAAGCTACGGCATGTGGGTTCTTCACCAAAGAACCCATAGTGCACCCAGCAGATGAGCTGGCCAAGTGTGGGTTGTTCTCTTCCTTTCCTCTGGATCCACCAGCTGGTATTGTAGTACCTTTGCAGCAAACCAATGTGTTTCCCCCTTCCCACACCAATCACTACCCCTTTCTGCTCCCCTCTGGTTGGTTTTTACTTTCCAGAGCCTCAAAAATGCACCATGAGGGTCTAGTTTTACAAAATTATTTGTCCAAAAGGCAGGGGGAATTTGTGCCAATTTAAGGTCTGGGAACTAACTGGAGGGGGAATTTCCATGCCCGTCAGAGAACCGCAGTACTGCGGCAGCTGGTGTGCTGAAAAGGAGCCACTGAAAGTGTGGAGCATCTGGAGGCTTGCACAAGTGCTGAATGGGTAGAGGCACTAACAAATGACAGTTCAGCAATTAAAGCTGAGAAGATCACATTGCTAAACGGAAGATCTTGCTCCTCCTTTTGGTGTGCCTCCTTTTGCAGCTTCCCCCAGCCCCTTTAACTCATGTTCAACTGGGTACTCAACAATCGCTTCCTGGCAGCAACTGCTTTTCTGCAAATGTGCAGTTACCCTCAGTTTCCTTATACTTTCCCTATGCCTTTTCACCACTCCCCTTGGCAGCTGAAAGATGCAAGGAAGCTGACCAGGCAGGGCACACACTCCAGTCAGTCATGAGAGCACACTTGCCGAAAGACTGCCACATACAATAATGCTCTGGATTTGTGCCTTTTTCTGGGGCCAAACCCACTAACGACAAGGCTGGCTGTCTTGCTCCCATGTGCCACTGGGGCTTCAGTGGTGGCCTGCAAGGGGGAGATACAATCCTCACAACCCGTGATGACATCAATCATGACAGTCCGCTGTGGATCGAGCAACCCCTGGGTTGTCAAGATGGCTTGTTTCTGAAAAATAAGCCACTTTGTGAGAAGTGGTCTTACTTCGGATGGTAGAACAACCCACTCCGGCTAGTTACCCACAAAAAGTTGTCATTTGTGTATAGCAGGCTGAAGCAAGTGATTTAATTTGCCAAAGACAAAAAACAATACTTCATTTTAAAGCATATGCTTTGCATGAAGCAGAAAGATCGAGATTTAAGCCCTGGCAAAAAGACCAGGTAGTAGATGGTGGGAAAGGCCAAACTAAACATTCCTGCAATTCCAAAGGAGCTAGCTGTGATTTTTTTTTTTTATTAGACAGAGGAGGGGTAAAATCTTAATCCTCCTCTTCCAAAATGCCCAATATTTGCTTACGAGACAGTAAGTAAAAACAGCATGCATGATTCCACTCTGCATGTTGAAAGGAACATTAAGCTTGGCTCAAAAACCAAAAACTGCAGAAAAGCTCTGCTAGTCAGGAATACTGCCTCAGCGTTGGTATCTCGCTTGATACTGGATCAAAACATTTCAAACGGCCATGTAGAAAGCATCATCGCTTGTTCTCCTGAAACTCACTTTGTTTTAAGTCATGAGAGTCTGAGGCAAACACAACCCTTTTCCAGCTTGTTCTGAATCCATGTGTCTTGCCCTAAATTATTGTAATGATTACACCGTGAGCCACCCAGAGAGCCTTCTGCCTATGGGGCAGCACACAGATGCCATAGATAAATAAATGTATATCTATTTGTGCTTTCTTCAAAGAAGAAGAGGTATCTATCAGCACGTTTCTGCTTCTGCAGATTATTGTTCCAGTTGGACCTGAACAATATTGTAGATCTTAACAGTGCTTGGATCATTCTGCTGGGGGGAAAGATTGACTTGTTGTTCCTCTTCTGCTTTTTCTTTTACATCGCGTTTACCCTCAAACACACTTATAAAGTGTTTGTAGTAGTAGCAGTTCAATATATTGATTTCTTTAAAGTGTATACTGTGCCATTCAACCCCCAAGGGCCCCCCTAAGTGTCTTACAACAAAAGTTTAAAGAAGCAGAGTATAATCCTAGAGGGAGCTCGCCACGCAGTCCTGGGCATGTTACTCAGAAGCGGATCCCACTGGATGTAGCACCCAGAAAAGCATGCCTATGGCCACAGCGCTGCATGGAGCCTTACTGGGCAGGTGGGAACCTTTGGGAGAAGGTGCAGTGAACAATCCTGTGCAAAGTATTAAAGAAATCCTGGGGATCATGGGGCTAAGGGTTCGAGCCACCGCACAATCCCACAGCCAGTTGCCACATGGCAAGGCACAGGAAGGGCTTCCTTGGAGAAGTTCACCGGTGCTTTTGGAAGGTCACGCTCAGAACGCAGCTCCAGTAGGTGGCGCTCTAAGATCTTTATTGCATCATGAAAAGCACATACCTCCCATCTAAAAAGGCAGAAAGGGGCAAACAGAGTCAGGAAATCGGGACGCTAGAAACAGCCCTACTTTGATGAAAAACCAAACCAGGCAAAATAAAACACGTGCAACTGAAGGGTGGTGAGTGTGTAGCCAAGCAACTCTGCTGTGTAATGGACAGCCCGACAAGGCAAATGCTCTGATCGCTGGGTCACACTGCTCAGCTTGCCCCCACTTGGTACCCTCCAGAGGTATAGGCCTCCAGCTCCTAGCATGTCCTAGGCAGCTGTGTCTGAAGGGCACCAACATCAGTATAGCAGCGATAGCTGTTGCTGCTTGTTGGGGTCAAGACATCCAAGCAAATCCCAGCAGAGGCGGTAGGATTTTTGCAGCATGTGGGCAGCCTGGGGGAAGCCAACATCTCCTGAGTGACCACTCCTTGGCTGAGCTCTTGCAGCCAAGCCATGAGGCCTGCCTCCCAGGACACGCTGCAGCAGATGAAGAATGGTCAGGGGAAGGTATTCAGCCGCTGGTTCCCCCACTGGGGTCCGCCAGCACGTGCAAGGCACCGGGACAAAAGGATTGATTAGGCTTCTCAGCATGAGACCGGAAACTTTCTTAGCCTTACCTAAGAAGATCAAGGATGGAGCACTTCCATTCCCTTGCACTGTAACTCAATGACATCCAGTATGAGATGGATTTTCCTCCATTTCACGGAAGACAGAAAAGCATGTCCTGGGAAATGGCAGCAGTTCAGTGTAGTTCACTCCTTTCCCCTCTATACAGAACTGTGGATTCAACTTTGCAAGAAAAACATGATATAGGTGAAATCATTATTTATGTATTATATTTCTATACCACTTAATAGCCAATATTCTATAATGCTCCCCACTGAAACCTTTTTGTATATTTCCTGATCAATGGTGCAAATCTGACCACTAGGCCATGTTCATTTACAATTACAGGCCCGGCCTTGTTCTCACAAAAAAACAAAGTAGAAAACAAAAATGGTAAGCAAGGTTTGATTGTTACTGGGTCAAAAATATCCAGTGTCATTCTTTTTAATCGAATTGTTGGGAATTTTTTTACCCATTGGTTTTTTAATCCACTTCTGCTATATTGCCTGTCTTCACTAATTTGGGCCTTACTTGGGCATGATTCTACGTGTACGTAAGCACAGAGCAACAATCGTATTTAGTGTGTGTCTTTGCACCTGTGACTTTAGTCAAAGAACCTTTAAGAATTTTCAAAAACCAGAAACTGACTCTAGACAGTATCCTTTTCAAGAGAACTGTTTTTGATTGGTAGATAACTCATGATTATCAAACGCGGTTTTTTTTATATAAGCCAAAATCTAGCACTTGAACTAAGAGATTTAATGGTCACTATGCTATTTTTTAAGAGATAAATGTAGTATTTCATTTATGATGGATGTGTGGAGATGTTTTAAATTAAATTTAAAAATCTGATTTAAATGACACTGATTTGATTGTTAAATCTGATTTTAAAGTCTTTTTTTAAATCCTTTGTTTTGTAGCCAAATGATATAATGGACAGGCATCTGTATTGTGATGGGAACCATCTCTACTTAAAGTGCAATCCTGTGCAAGTTATAGACAGAAAGGAAGTTGCAGGCTCTTTTTCCAGCACAGCTTAAGATTGCTTCCTTAGGCTTTAAATAGCATGATTTTAAGCACCTGAACAGTAATCCTTGTTTGCTGCTACAGCCCAACCTGGATATTTCTGTGTGATTTCTCAAATCGAAGAGTTGCAGGGATGTAACCTTATGAGTCAAGTAGGGCTGCTTATAGAGATGTTACTGACCAACGTTGAATTTTCCCTTCTGCCCTTCTAAAGGGGGGAGGGGGGTGCGTTTCATTTTTCGCAGTTTTTGAGACATGTCTGAAAAGATCACTGCCCTGTTCTACAGTTTAGAAAACATAAAGCCACTTCCCGCAGAGAGATCCTGCAAAGGCTCAGAAGCACACTAAGCTTGCAACAGGCAGAGCAGCAGCGGGCACTCTGCCCGCACTTCTCAAAGGCATTCAGAGAAAAGACCCCACGCTTGGCAGATGCTGAGCGGGGGAACAACAGAACAAGCGCAGTTCACGGCAGCAGCCTCATTAAAGTCGACGGAGGAAATCCAAGGAAGGCCGTGCAGTTTCTCCGAAGCACGAGGACTTGCGCCGCAAAGATCTGACGCTACCACGAGTTGCCGCGAGGGGTGGCCATCTTTTACATTTCCGGTCCCATTAGTTCTGTTTGAGCGCCACAATATAATCTGCTCTGCTCGAGGAGCCCCCCGACCCCAAAATGGCTTCTGGGAGGCACGGGTAATCCGAGCGCACATTTTGAAGCGGGCGGCCCCGCGGCTCTGTGCAGTCGCCGTGTCAGTCCTCTGAAGCGCGGCACTTGCCCTCTCGCGTCGGGAAGCCTGCAGGGCCATCCCTCGTCCCCGAACCGCCGGCGGGGCTCAAACATGGCCGCTTCCCGCCCATGACCCGTCCCGAAACTCTCTGATCCGCCTTGACTCGAAATCCCCCGCGCAGGCGAGCGAGACATCTCTAGCGGAACATTTCGATTGCACCGCTGCAAAGGGGGTTTGCAAAGGCGTTGCAGCAGGTGAAGCGCATTCGTCTCTTTCTTCTACCTTTTTTAACGTTGCAGTTTACCTTGAGGCGACGCAAGGTGCCCGTCGGGGCTCCCGATTGCGTGCCTGTTGTTGTGTTCTTATCCTGAGCCGTTCGTGCTTCTCGCCCATTTCGGAGCAACTGGTGCTTGACGCGCGATTTGAATGAATAGGGACCGCGGCGGCTCGCTTGTTGCAGTTGATCTCCGCGGAAGCGATGGCGAACGCCGCCTGCACGCTGAAGCCGAAGCCGCAGGGCGATGCAGCCCGTGGGCTTCTGTTGGCAGGGGCCGCAGGGGGATCGCTCTGCCCTGCCTTTGCTTGCTTTTCGGAAACGGATCCTGGGACCCGCGCGCAGGCTGGAGGAACGTTCGAGCGCGCAAACCGAACGCGAACCCGGAACCTTCCTTCCACTGGCTGCTTTTCTATGCTGCTAGCCCGTCAGGCGCGGTGGCCAAGTGGTAAGGCGTCGGTCTCGTAAACCGAAGATCGCGGGTTCGAACCCCGTCCGTGCCTCTAATAGGACTAAACGACGTCGCGACTTGCTAAAGAGGGGGATGAAAAGGGATTCCCTTTCACAAGCCGCTTTTTGTTTTCCCAGAGTCGGCTTCTTTCACTGAATTAAAAAAAAAGCAAAAGTAAGTGAAGTCGGCTGCGGGCTGCCACACTATACCATCGGCCTGCTCCTCCCTGGGGAGGTGCTAAGACGCGCGCACAAGCCTATCTCAGCAAGGATGCCCGCTGTCTAGTTCTTGAGGGGTCGGAGCTTTGGAATCGACCCCGCAAGAGGCTTCGGCTTGCCAGATCAGCCAGAAAACAGCCCCTCCCCGGGGAAGCAGCTTGGCAATAGATGTTCCTCCGGAAAACAGGGTTGCAAAGGATCGTATGTGTGTAGGTGGAGGATAGAGTTATGATGAGCGATTTTTAAACTGCTCCGGTTAGCTTTAGAAAAGAGCCGCCTGGCTGTAGCCTCCAGAACATGGCTGTCAACACTATTGCGCGCAAAGGCGAATAGCCTCGCAAAGAAGAGATTGCGGCAAAGCACTGAAACGTGTGGACTCCCCTTTTTCCTCCCTCCGCGGCGTAGAAGAAGCGAGGGGTCGCGCCGCTGCCTCGCTCCGCGTTGCAAACCCCGCGGGGCCCTGCCCCCATGTCATGCCACGGGATCTTCCCAGCTCGAAGGGACCCCCCGAGATCGATCCAGAGAGCGATCGGATGACATCCCGCTCCTTTGCCAGGCGTCCGAGAGAACCCGGCGCTTGCTGCCGGATCAGAGGCGGACGTGCATGCTCCAAGCGGCAGATCAGTAGAAGGGCCTGGGGCTGCCCCCCCGCCTGGGACCTGGGAATGCTCAGGACAGGGACGCTTCGCTTTCGCCAAGCGGGGCACGGCGATGGCCGCCCCCTCCCTCAGCGCATGCGAAGAAAGCCGCCTCGGGGCTTGCAGAGCGCGCCGTGTGGCTGCCTCCGCCTGCAACCCTTAGAGGGCCACCCGCAGCCCCTGCAAGCCGGCGAGAGCCTCCTGCGGAAAAGAGCTTTCCTTGCAGCCGTCGAGAAAAGCGGGAGGGCGATTTCGATCTGGAACGCTGATCGGTCGCCCCCTATTAGGAACCGCGTCCAGACAGCACGCCTGAGCCCCCAGCCCTTCTTTTGCTGGTTTGCCTCCCCCAGCCCTTCTTTTTTTAAAAGGCTATTTATGGAACTAAGAGGTGAATTGGATGTAGATGTACGTGGCGGAAGGTTGTCGGTGGCAAGGCGGCCTCTTCCAGGAGTTCCAACCATGACGCCCGGATGCACTTGGAGGATACAACGTGCAACATAAACATCTCAAACCCATGAGTGGAACACAAAAGTTACAGAAGGGGGAGAACTGCTGTGCTTCCCCCCACACCGCCGCCAGTGGTGGCGGCTTTGCAAGCTGCTTGGAAGCTGCTGTTGTAAACCCCCTAGATCAAAACATCTTGGCCCGCTTTTGCACTTATAACATCTACATGAGGGGCAGAAAACGGGGAGTCTGAGGCTTGTTACTAGGGAGAGGCCAGTATCACCACCTCTTGTTTAGTGACTCAAGTGCTCTTAAAGCCGGGGATGGGGGTAATAGCTGATTTTTTGACAGGACCCAGAGTCAAAAGAATCTAACCCTAACAAACATGTCGAGTTGCTAATATTTTAAATAATAAAAAATGCTATTTTCATCCACTCTGAATGATATGGAGGGTGTATCTACAAGTCAGTTATGTTTCTTTCATATAATTATTGTTTCATTTCTGTACTCTCTGAGCAGCTTACAGCAATTCAAAACCTATGAAACACAGAGACAATAAAATACAAATGCCATGCAAAACTGCCTAAATGTTCAACACACAGATTTTAAAGCAATTTAAGGATATGGTCCAATTTCCCCCCATTTCTTGATATATGTAAGCATCTGAACTCCATGGCTTGCATGAATCCAGTGCCTTGAGCGAGGTGTTGTAGCAGCTGTGTTTGCTACCGCTGTGTCACACATGCTGCATTTCACCTGGACAGCCACCTTCAGCCAGGGAGATGAAGTGTTGCAAAGAGGGAGAGAGAAGGAGGCTGGCTGGGGTGCCCTCTGTGTGCAACCCAAGCCCTTGACCCAGCCTTTCCCCTCCCTGCCCTCCTCTCCAAAGCCAGCTGGTGGCCTCTGAAGGCAGCAGACGTTCTTCCCGGACCACCCAACCTGGGTGAGGGCAGGTTGAGTTTCAGAGCCCCAGCAATGAGGTCGCAGGACTGTGGAGGTGGGATTCTGGATAGTCCTATGTCCTCCCAAACAGTGTTGGAGGGGATAGGGAGGCATCCTAAGCAGCTGAAACCATTTCCGTTAGTAATGGTCATAACAGCAGATTGGTTAAAAGAGCTGACATGTCCCATCAGGTCTTATTAAAACCTGGTACTGAAAAGATGGCAGTGCTGGCACCAGGCAGGCATCAGTGGGGAAATCCTTCCATAATCGGGGTCACCACTGAGAAGGCCCTCTCCCTTGATGCCACCTTTCAAACCTCCGTTGAAGGTGATGCTCAGGGGAAGGTCTCAGATGCAGATGGTATTGTCGGCCCCTGCGTTCTTTCAGGTAGTGTGGTCCCAAGCCACGTTGCAGTTCTTTTAACACAGACTACTGGGATAAAGACAGTTTAAACAGCCTGAAGGAATAAATGGCAACCCCAAGGGAAATTGAGAGAGGGCCCAAGTTAGTTGTCCCTCAGTGGAGCTGATAGAACAGCCTTTGCTTTGCTCCACAGCCTCAAACTTGCATTTCAGAAAGGTGACTCAGCAGATCAACCCAAAGCTCAGGTGACTCTGATCTTCTGGAAGTGAGCCCAGAACTTGCCTGCGATTTCCCTCTCCAACTTCACCACTGACTAATACAAAACTATGTTATATGTGCAATGGAGCCTTGAGAAATATGAAACATTATATGATTCCCACAGCTGGAGAGGCAAAAGTTAATGTGGAGAGAATAGAAGTGGCCATGAGCTTTTGGTTTTATTGCCCCAAGGCTGCAGAAATGTACTGCAAAAATGGAGGTGCACAGTTTTGCTACATATATGTATTTATTACATTTCTTTGCTGCCCAATAGCTGATGCACTCGGGGTACTTCTCAGCAATTAAGCCATAAGTGACACTCACAATAATACACTTAACAACAACAAACTTTATTGGCCTAATAAAATACACTATAAAGCAGCGGTTTTCAAACTTAACACAGCTGGGGACTGGTGAAAACAGAAAAACCACCTTGGGGACTACTGAGGCAAAACAAAAAGCACCATACACATAATACAGTATTCTGTGTTTTAGTTTTGAAACACAATGCTGAAGGAGGGAGGGAGGGAGGGAGGGAGGGAAGGAAGGAAGGAAGGAAGGAAGGTTCTCCAAAACAACCAGAAATAAAAAATGCCAACAAAAGAATAAAATACTGAAAGCAGTGCAGTGTGGCTCCCAGCCACCTCCCACTGAGCCATCTCTCCCTGCTTCCCCACCTCATCCCGCAGCACCAGCGCATCCCCTGCAAAAGCAATGCCAACCAAGGAAGAGGTAGTGGAGCACAACCAGTCCGTGGTGAGTGGGATGCAGGATGTGGCCCCCCATGGACGAGCAGGAAATCCCCTGCAGGCTGGTGCCAGTCCAAGGACTGGTGGTTGAAAACCACTGCTACAAAGGTGTAAAAGAGAAGTAAAAACCACAGTAAAACACAGGAGGCCCTACAACGATTTAAATTTTTACTACATTTTCTCCCACCCTTTCACCCAGGAAGCTCAGGACAGCTACTGACGCACACACCTTACATTACCCTTGTCATTACGTAGTCAGCTAGCTAGGGGTGTTGCTAGGCTGGGCCTCGGGGCTCCCAGCTCAGCATCATTTTCCCAAGGCCCTGGATCTATTCCCTCCAACCCAGAATAGAAGGGTGCCTACATTTAATTGCCATCTGGGGAGCAATTGCCCAGTGGGATTGTTGATGGGGCAGGAAGGGGGCATCTCTTCATGTGTGGGAAGACATGTGCACACAGACAATCTGTCCCTGTACCGGGCCATTAAGATGGTGGGGACTTTTTCCTATTGGTTTAGGAAGAACTGGGGTCAAGTGCAAATCAGTTGAAGAATGTGTTTTATTGGGAATCATTTGAATGAGAAATTAATTGGCTAGTTTTACCTCTTGTGAAAATTAAATGAATCCTAGTGATTATTTCTAGATTTGCCTGTATCAATCAACAAATGCAGATTTTATGTAAACCTTCTGTCAATGGCACTTCAGTGAGTGTGGAGAAATGACCCTTTAGTGCCAAAACAGAATGAAATAAAGCAATTCCCATCACCACAACTGGTAATCATGTTCAGCATTTGCATAAATGCCTGCATTATATTTGTAACCTGTGGTACAAATATAATAATATATGAAAGAATGGACACATCCCTACCTTTTAGTGGTTCCTGAAATTTCTGCATCCTGGGCAGGTGCCCCACCCTACCTAATGGTAGAGATCCCCTCGTTGCCATGGCTGATGGTGTGTACTACCAATTTTAGTGCATTGGGGGTGGGTGTTATGGAGGTGCGCAGAATCAGAGTGCTACTTGATCAGGGGAAAAACAGTCTGGCCTTCTCAAATTGATGTACAGAGACCAGCAAGCAAAGTGTCCATGGCACTGAGGCCAATATGATCCTTGCTCTTGTCTGTACAACAAGCTGTAGCTAAATGCAACACCGCTAGGCTGTTGACCCAGCTGGGGAACTACTCTCCGTGGGGAACTACTCTCCCTTGTAGTTGGCTTGTGCCCAACAGCTGCCCTCCGTGAACGCAAAGGCTGCGAACACGATGAGAGTCCTGCTGGTGGCCTTTGCTTCCTTCGCCTCTGCCCATGCTTTCAGCTTCC